CAACAAGCACATGAAAAGATACTTAACACCATTAGTCATTAGGGAAAAGCAAATCAAAACAATGATAAGATACCAACCACTTCACAATCACTAAGATGGCTGTAGTTTTTTAAAAAGAAGAAAACAAAAGAAGAAGAACTAGTGAGGATGTGGAGAAACTGAAACCCTTGTGCATTGCTGGTGGGAATGTAAAACGGTCCAGCCCTACAGAAAAATTTGGCTCTTCCTCCAAAAGTTAAGTATAGAATACACCATACATTATAAATACAGACTATGTGACCCAGATTACTTATATTACATATATTTATATGCATTATCTAATTATATAGAATATGTTAGAATATAAATACTGAATAGATGATCCAGCAATTCCACTCCTAGGTGTATACCCAAAAAAGCTTTCAACAAGTACTCAAATATTTGTACACAAATGTTCATAGCAGCTAATCACAAGAGCCAAAGGCAGAAATAACCTAAATGTCCATCAATGGATATATGGATAAACAAAATGTGGTATATTCATACAATGGAATATTATTTGGCCATAAAAAGGAATGAAGTACTGATCCACGCTACAACATAGAGGAACCTCAAAAACATCATGCTGAGTGAAAAGAAGCCAGTCACAAAAGGCCACATACTGTATGATTCATTTATATGAAATGTCCAAAAGAAGTAAGTCCATAAAGACAGAAAACAAATTGGTGGTTGCCAAGGGGTAGAAGGACAGGGCAATGGGGACTGACTGCAGAGTTTTCTTTTAGGGCGATGAAAACGTTTTGGAACTAGGCAGAGGTAGTGGTTACACAATGCTGTGAATGTACTAAAGGCCACTGAATTGTACATTTTAAAATAGCTAATTTTGTGTTATGTAAATTTCACCTCAATTTCAAAAAGCAAAACAAAACTATTGATAGAAAAGCTCACCTATGTCACTGAAAGTTACTGTTTGGGAGGGGCAGGGGGGTTGCTTCTGGAGACTGTCTTGTTCTATTTCTTGATCTGGACACTGGTTTCAGGGTAAGCTTATGATCCAGGCCCTTCCTTACCTGTGGTGTTTTATGCATTGGTAACAAGCTAAGGGGGGGAAACAAAAAACCTAGAAGGAAAGGACACACATCCTCACAACAATCCAATTTTACAGATGAGGAAAATGAGGCATAGAGAGATTCCATTAGTTGCTTGAGGCTCACAGTTGTTAACCTGGAGAACTAGGATAGAACCCAGGTTTGCTCTGTCCATGCTGTTAACCATTACAATGTCTGCCTCTAAACAGACGGGGCCAGGCCTGGTGGAGCCTGACAAAGAGTGTGCTGAGGCTTTGTCAGAAAGGGGACCAACACACGGCATGAGTCACTCCAACAGTGGTACCCTCACTTCGCCCGTTCCTTGAACAGACCTTGCTAGGCGAGAAGCAGCAAGTAGGCCAGGTCTTGAGAGCACTGGTTTAGGAGCTGAAGGACACAAGTCCAAACCTCAGTTTGGACTGCCACCTCCTCTCTGGAACCTTGGGCAAGTCAGTCTCCCTGCCCAGCCTCAGCATCCTGGTCTGTAAGATGCCTGCCTCACAGGGTGGCTATGGAAATGCAACAAAATTGGGCTTGCCTACAGCACAGCCGTGCCTGGCACAGAGTGGGCACACAGTAAACTGGGGCAGCTATTATTGCAACCACCTGGGTGGATGGTGCAGGTGCTAAAACAGCTGCAGTCAGCAGGGCCCACCTTGCCTCGCCCACCTCTGCCAGCCACTGCTCAGAACGACAGCCACTGGGAGGCCTAGGAGTGACACACATACATGTGTGTATGGAGCAAACCCAAGGCAGGTGTGTCCCAGGTAGGCCATCTCAGCAGCTCAGCTGGCCCCCTTAGCGTGAATGGAGACGCTGAAGGCCTGAGAGGGCCTGAGATCCATTTAATGCCATCAGTAGCCCTGGACCAAAGACAAACCCCCACCCCAGCCACAGTCCTCAGGCCAGCTTCAGGACTCCTACGACCCAGCCCAGGGAGCCATGGGTCTTGGGAAACTCGGAGGCCTGAGACCCTGGCCCACCAGACCACACTCGCACCACCCCACACACAATCCCAACCATTCATTCAATAATCAGTCACCGAGTGCCTACGAAGCATGCGAAGCACTTTTCTAGGCACTGGGGACACCATGGTGAGCACAGCAGATCAAATCCCTGCCCTTAGGGAGCTGACAACGTCAGAGGCCTGGGTTGTTAACCCATTTTACAGATGTGAAACTAAGGCTCAGAGAGGTGACAGCTTGCTCAGTCACATCAAAAGGAAGTGGTAGAGCCAGGGGTTAGAACCATGACATCTGCCAAGGTTCAAAAAGCTCCACTGACAGCCCCAAACTCAGGGCCCAACCTGGGGGTAGGCCGGGGTGTCTCAAATGCCACCCGTCTTCAAGAGAAGTGGGAACAGGTCTCCCCTACTCAGTCTGATGGGGGAGGCCTGGCCCTGGGGCATCGCCTCTGTCCCTCATCACTGCTCTGTCTGCAGGCTGGGACAGGATGGGTGGACACCTCTTCCAATTCCTGCAGGGCTGGCCCCATCAGCCTTCCTGTCCTCTTCAATTTGAACAGCCCCTCTCACTGAGGCCCTCCCTGAACACCTGGTTTATGACAGCTCCTCTGCCCGCCTCACAGGCCCTCCTCCTCACGTTGCTTGGTTTTTCTCCATGGTACTTACCACCACTGGACACAGGTGCCACCTGCCCTCCTGACTAAATGTAAGATGTCAACATGAGGACGGGGATTGTGCCTGTTTGATTCACTGCTATATCCCCAGTGTCTGGATCAGTGCCTGGAATACAGTAGCTGCTCAACAAACGTTTGCTGAATGAGTGAAAAGTCCACAAAGAGCAGGCCTGGCACCCTCCCTCCACAGGGCAAGGTCCACAGAAGCCAGGACGGTCTGCCTCCTCCCTCCTCAGCTGGACGAGCCTACTCTCAGCACATGCTTCTTCCCGGCTGCCCTTGGCACATGGCTGCAGAGCCAGTAAATGCCACAGTTCTGGGGACAAGCAGCCTAGGGTCTAGGGGTCTAGTCTCTTAGTCTCTTCCATGTAAATGACTTCACTTCTCTGGCTTGGCTGCCCACCAGTACAACCAGATCAGGTCACACCCTGGCTCACCACCTCCTGGGCTTCTAATTACCTGGAGAGGCAAAGCCCAGGTCCTTTCTGTGGCCTGCAGGGCCCCACCTGGTTTGATGCGGCATTACCGCTCTGCTGTGTCACCTAGTCCCGCTTGTCCTTACTCATTCTGCTCCAGCCACACTGCCACCTTTGTCCTTGCTGTCACTCTTACCCAGCTATGTGTGTGACTCACTTCCTTACCTCCTCCAGGCCTCTGTTCACTGTCATCCCCTCAGAGCAGCTTTCCCTGACCACCCTCTCTCCATCCCCTTCCCCATCAGAATTCTTACTTTTCACAACAGCACTCACCACCACCTGACATCACATGTCTGCTTGTTTGTTTATTATTTGTCCCCATATCCCAAAGGAACGTAAACTCCATGAGGGCACCACATTGTCCCCAGAGTCTGGGACAGCCTGGCACACCACACACTCAATGAGTGCTTGCTGAATGAACCTCAGCATGTTATTTCAGTTAAGTGACCTCCCATCTCTGAGCCTCAGTTTCTTCATCTATAAAATGGGGCTATGAATGAGATTGTGAATGCAGCTACAGAAGTCTGGCCTGTGGGTTCATGTGGGGTGTTCAGATAGGCCTGGAGATTCGGCCACAGAGTCACAGCTCCTCTGCCCAGGCTACTGCTGAAGGAGTCCATGAAACGGGCTTAAGGAGATACTGGCCTGGGTCAGGCAGGCGGAGCTGGGATGCTGACTCCTGGGGCTGTGAAGACCCTGCACCTCTGCCTCTCAGGGCACTAGCTGCCAGGAGGAGGGCGGGGGAGGTGGGGGAGGGGTGTGTGTGTGTGTGTGTGTGTGTGTGTGTGTGTGTGTGTGTGTGTGTGTGTTGCACAATCCTGTGGGCAAAAGCAGCCCCTTACCACGCTTGTGGAGCCAGCCTTCTTTGATGACAGACACCTCGTTCATGGTGGCAGCGTGTCACGCTGTCACCTAGCTCGGGACAGCTCAGGGCAGCAGGACATGCAGGAGGCACGGTGGACAGAGCACAGTCTGCAAGACAAGAGAGGCGCCCATCAGAATTCGAGGAGGACTTGGCCCCAGCCCCTTCCTTCAGGACAGCCAAGCTCTGAGGCCCCTCTGGTGCTCTGCTTGTTTTGCACAGGGTGGAGCCAGTGAGGGTGGGGGAGCCCTGCCCTTGGGGCCCAGTGTGAGGGGAAGATGTGGCCATCCCCAGGGACCCCAATCTGGGAGAAAGGACATGACCCTGTCCTCAGAGCCCTACTCTGGAGGGAGCAGAGCTCCCTGACCTATGCGTAGGCCAGGCCCTGTGCTCAGAACACCCAAATTGAGCAGAGGCAGCCCCTCCACCCACCCTCGCTCCAGGCTGGAAAGGCAGTAAGGGAGCTGCGGCCCCGCCCCCAGCGTCATTCCCATGCCCCACTGCTGAGGTAACCTGGGATGAATCAGACAGCTCTGGGCACCTCAGAGAGCGCTCAAAGCCACCAGCACCTGCCTGCCACCCCTCCACACACAAACACACACTCTCTCTCTCTCCCTCACATCCCCCACCTCCCTTTTCCAAACCAGAAAGCCACCAACCGCCACCTTTAGAAAACCAAGTATCCCCATCCCCCTGCACAAGGCCACCCCATGTCACTTCCTCACCCTCAGGTCCCTCCTTGCCCCCACCAAATGACCAAGGAAAGGCAGACGGCAGGTGCTCCGGGCCTTAAACAAGAAAGCAACCTACTGCGTAGGCACTTGTCTGGGGCCTAGCAGCCAGTCCTGGGGGCTCGACCAAGGCCCTGGTCCCTTCTCCAAGACCTCGAGACCTCTGCTTCTGTCCTCAGGGACCAGCAGCTGATAGACTGACAGACGCCGAGGCTGCTGTTTCTGTCTCAGGTTCCTGGGCGGAGGGGTGAAGGGCGGGAGGCAGCCGCCAGCTGGGCCCCTACCTGGAGCCGCAGGCCTGGATAGGGGCCATGGAGCCCAAGACGCCTTTCGCCTTTCCTGGCCTGGGGTTATTTGCGGACAGCAGGTCAGGAGCTACGGTGGCCCCCAGAGAAGTGGCAGCTGGCTCTAAGGACACCATGGGCATCAGCTTTCTCTCGTGCCCCAGGGGAGCTGGTGGGCCGGACACACTATTGCCTGGCATGTGACAGTGGCAGGCTGCCCGGCTGGGCAGAGGGAAGGAGGTAAGCAGGAGGAAGCGGGGGAAAGACAAGATGGACAGTGACTGGGAAGTAAATAGCGGGGTGAGAAATCACATTCCGAACTCCAAGCTGCAAAGGCAGAGCCAGGAGCAGCAGCAGGGGCTCCCTCCTCAGGAGGCATAACAAGCACCCCAAGGGGCTCACACCCCACTACCCCAACACTGAGGACTGCCAGACTCTCAACCCTAAATATCCCACCAGCCTGTGCTGCAATGGCTAATATGACCGGTCTCTCCATCCCCCCGACCCCAAGACTTTCTCAGGTCCAGCACTATCCTCTCCCAGCAGGGTCCTGCCCCACCTCCTTCCTGGACTCTCCCCCCACAATCTGTCACTCATTCAGCAGCTAGGGGGACCCTCAAACCTGACTCTGTCCTTAACCTACTCAAAACCCTTCTGTGGCTTCCCACTGGCCTCAGAAAAGAGCCAACCTCCTCGGCTTGGGAGTCAAGGCCCTTCAGGACCTAGCCTCTGCTGGCCTGTGTCCACTGCCTCCCCCCAATGCTGCTGATCCGGGTGGTCCTCAGTACCCATGTCCCCAGCTTTCTCACCACCTCTCCCACCCACCCCCACGTCCCCTCACCTCCTTACCCTTTCCCTACCACCCAGGGTCTCCATGGGGTCCCAGCCTCTGCTCTCAACCCCTATACTCCATCTAAATATGGCTCTGTCCTTCCCTTTCTAGGAGCCAAGAGGCACCTAGAAAGCCCTCAATAAAAGCTAACGGCCATGACCTGGCACTCCCCACCCCTCCAGTCCCGGCCCCCACACCCCTCTCTCTGCTCCACTTCTGTCACTTAGGCCCTTCCCTCTGACCGCCATCCCCCATACCTTCGTGGGTTCTCCCTTCTCCCTGAGGTCTCCGCTGAACCAGTACCTCCTCCAGGAAGCTTGCTGACCTCAGAGGCTTCACTGGGTGCTCTCTGTGCACTTCCTCAGCCAATGCTCCTCACATCTACAAATGCTAACACAGTGGACCAGCACAACATCTGGGTATCTGCTGTGTACACAACGGATGAGCCCAAGTCTCCAGACCCCCAGCCCAGGACCAGACACAACCATGGAAACACTTCCCGAGTCTAGTCATGCCATCAGTTTTTTTGGGAGTGTCCTAAAGTCTCAACACTATCCTGGGGGCCAGAGACAGAGTGTCACTAAGACGCAGCCCCTGCCTCCAGGAAGCTCACATTACAGTGGGGAAGGCAGACAGGCACCAATACATAACAATGTCATGTGCTGGAGAGGTACTGAGAAGGAAAATAAAGCAGAGGAAAATGATAGTAGGGAACGTGGTACAGGGAATATGTGAACAGGGACTGAGCCTTGCTAACATGTAGGGAAAAGAATTTCAGGCAGGGGAACAGCAAGTGCAAAGCCCCTGAGGCAAGCAGGAACTTGGTGAGTGTGGAAAACTGCCAAGCAGCCTAAACGGCTACAGGGTCAGGAGCCAGGAGAGGTGGGTTGCAGAATACTTGGGGCCTGAAAGCTGTGGTGGGGACTTAGGGAATTCCTCACCAACAAGGACTGACACCGCACTTTCCCCCATAGGAGCTCACTTTGGAATAGTTTCCAAAGATCTGGGATGGACCCGAAGTCCAAAGAAAGAGCAGATATGGAAGAAAAGGACAAGGCCTGGTGTCTGATCTCGGCTCTCCTTTCCCCTCCCAGCCTGGTGGGAGGAGCCTCCATGATTCAGCAGCACTAAAGCACCCACTGTGTGCAGATTCGGCCTGCTGCTTCTCCCCCAGCCAACACTTTAATACAAGGTTGCCATGATCGGAAAGAGAGAGGTGAAGAAAGCCAGGTATGGGCGAGAGTGGTCAGGGTTGCAGAGTCCGAGAGCCACTGCCAGCTGGGTGGCCTTGAGCAGGGTGCTGGTGTTCCGGTGGTGTCTGTCCTGAGTGCTCCCAACCTCCCCACCAGAGGGGCAGCAACCACACCCGGGGAGAGGGCAGAGGCTCAGAGAGGGGAAGCCATTTACCTTGGGTCTCCCAGCTGAGCAGTGGTGGAGGCCCTGGCCGCTGCTCAGCACAGCAGAGCCACTTTTTACACTCTCATTTCAGCGACTAAGAAGCCGCAGTAGCTTGGGCAAGGGCAGGGGGAGGAACTGAAGATCCCTGTGTCCTGCCTGGATCCTGCCCCGTCCTCCCACTGAGGGTGGCGCCTCAGCTGAAGTGTTTGTGACGCAGTCCTGCTGTGATGAAACACCAGGCACTGCAGCCAAGAGGATGGCCTGCTCCCCGGGGAGCTGCGGATGGAGGACTCCCAGGCAGGAGGACAGAGACCAGCCTCTGGAGGCCGGGTGTCTGCACTTGGCCTGTCCTGCCCTGGCCGCAACACCGCAGGCAGTACACCCCATGGCAGGGAGTGCCTGCATGACCCCATCCCTCCTTGCTGCTTCCTAGGGTGTCCGGGCCTGGGCTGAAGCTGCAGCCAACTAGAAGTGAGCCACCTGGGAGGCAAGGTAAAAAGAGCAAGGGCACCTCACAGGAGAGGACACCCACACAACCAAGGAACACATGCAAAAAATCTAATTAGTTACGGGGAAATACAAATTAAAACCACACTCACCAGGATGGCCAAAAATTTTTAAAACTGACAATGCCAAGTGTTAAACAAGGATGTAAAGGAATCACTACTAGTGGGAGTCTCAAATGGTCAACCACTATGGAAAATTATTTGGCAGTGAGAATTAAAACTCAATATATGCCTACCCATGGCTCAGCCATTCCACAGCTCCAACAGAAATGAGTATATTTGTTCACCAAAAGACATATATTAGAATACGAGGTCTGACAATTAAGCTCGCAAACTTGTTGCAGTGATGTTGCTAACATTTTTTTATATCAGAGGAATTATTTATCATGAATTTGTACCAACTGGACAAACCGTTAACCAAGTTTACTATTTGGAAGTGCTGAAAAGGCTGCATGAAAAATTTAGACAGCCTAAACTTTTCACCAACAATTCATGGCTCTTGTATCACGACAATGCATCAGCTTACACGGCACTGTCTGTGAGGGAGTTTTTATCCAGTAAACAAATAACTGTATTGGAACACCCTCCCTGCTCACCTGATCTGGCCCCCAATAACTTCTGTCTTTACCCGAAGATAAAGGAAATATTGAAATGAACAACACATTTTGATGACATTCAGGACATCAAGGGTAATACGATGACAGTTCTGATGGCCATTCCAGGAAAAGAGTTCCAAAATTGCTTTGAAGGGTGGACTAGGTGCTGGCATTGGTGCATAGCTTCCCAAGGGGAGTACTTGGAAGGTGACTGTAGTGATATTCAGCAATGAGGTATGTAGCACTTTTTCTAGGATGAGCTTGCGAACTTAAGTTGTTCAACCTCATATTCACAGCAATACTCATAGTAGCCCCAAGCCTTTCATTAGTCTTTGCTCATGTCACTTCCTTTGAGAAGCCTTCCTAACCTCTCTAGACAAAAGTACACCCACCCAAGTACGTCCCCTGGCCCTTTATTTTTCTCCATAAGCGTTTATCGTCACTGACAGGATTGTATATTATTTACCTGTTTACCAGTTTATTGTTGACCTTGCCCCACTATGATGTCGGCATGGTAAGGACAGGGGCTCTGGCCTGTCTTGGGCACTGCTGGACCTCAAAGCCTTGCAAGGTGCTGGGTACACAGTGGGGACTTAATAAGTATTTGTGGAATGAATGTGTAATGAGTGAAGCTCTGTGCCCAGAACAGGCTCAAAATAAGTTAAATTCCTTTCCTTGCCATTTGTCAGGTCCTTTTTCTCTCGCCCCCTCTCACTGACCTGGTTTCAACGCCAGACGGAACAGATGGGATGAGGGAGGCAAG